TATACATAATGTACTACAGTATTACCATAGGTCTACAATATACATAATGTCCTACAGAATTACCATAATCTACAATATACATAATGTCCTACAGTATTACCATAGTCTACAATATACATAATGTCCTACAGTATTACCATAGTCTACAATATACATAATGTCCTACAGTATTACCATAATCTACAATATACATAATGTCCTACAGTATTACCATGATCTACAATATACATAATGTACTACAGTATTACCATAATCTACAATATACATAATGTCCTACAGTATTACCATAATCTACAATATACATAATGTCCAACAGTATTACCATAGTCTACAATATACATAATGTCCTACAGTATTACCATAATCTACAATATACATAATGTCCTACAGTATTACCATGATCTACAATATACATAATGTCCTACAGTATTACCATGATCTACAATATACATAATGTCCTACAGTATTACCATAATCTACAATATACATAATGTACTACAGTATTACCATGATCTACAATATACATAATGTCCTACAGTATTACCATAATCTACAATATACATAATGTCCTACAGTATTACCATAATCTACAATATACATAATGTCCTACAGTATTACCATGATCTACAATATACATAATGTCCTACCGTATTACCATGATCTACAATATACATAATGTCCTACAGTATTACCATAATCTACAATATACATAATGTCCTACAGTATTACCATGATCTACAATATACATAATGTCCTACCGTATTACCATGATCTACAATATACATAATGTCCTACAGTATTACCATAATCTACAATATACATAATGTCCTACAGTATTACCATGATCTACAATATACATAATGTCCTACCATATTACCATGATCTACAATATACATAATGTCCTACAGTATTACCATAATCTACAATATACATAATGTCCTACAGTATTACCATAATCTACAATATACATAATGTCCTACAGTATTACCATAATCTACAATATACATAATGTCCTACAGTATTACCATAATCTACAATATACATAATGTCCTACAGTATTACCATAATCTACAATATACATAATGTCCTACAGTATTACCATAATCTACAATATACATAATGTCCTACAGTATTACCATGATCTACAATATACATAATGTCCTACAGTATTACCATGATCTACAATATACATAATGTCCTACAGTATTACCATAATCTACAATATACATAATGTCCTACAGTATTACCATGATCTACAATATACATAATGTCCTACAGTATTACCATGATCTACAATATACATAATGTCCTACAGTATTACCATGATAAGATAAGATAAATTAGAAACTTACTGTCTTGTATATTTGGGTCTAATCCTTCCTCCAATAACCAGTGTAGTATATCTATAGAACCATATAAGGCTGCCTAGAAATAAATACAAGACAGACCACAATTACATTGCTAACACTAAAATCAACATATTATATTGTTATATGCAGGCAAACATATTAAGGTTACACAAAAATATATTGGAGTTTGAGCTTTTTCTCTTCGCAACCTGATTGGAGTAATGAAAAAAAATTGAAATGAAATGAAATGAAAGGATTGTTATGTCCTACTTTTCTGCACCATGTAGGCTAATGTAGACGGGCAACGCCATGTAGGGTGCAATGAGAGATCTTTAACGTGCACAGTCTGTAGCACACGGGGCCTCTGTTTATTGTCAGCCCCTCTTACCAGCAGCACTGGCGGGGAAACCGGGTCGAAAAATCTGAAGGTATTATCTTGACCTATACCGAGATTAAACCTTGGACCTTCAGGTTAGTGAGCCACTGCGCCTTCCCTCGGGTAACGAAAACATGCAGCACAATGCACTGTGCAATGAGGGAAACTGTCACACATCAGTAGGATTTTTCTAAATGCCAAAACAGTGGATCTGCTTGGTCTACCATTGAACTCAATTCATCCTATAACAATATAATTCCTACTCACAGTATGAGCTGAAGTCTTCCCTTCCATACTCTTGGCATCTAATGCTGTACCTTGTTTCATGAGGAATCGTAGACAGTCTAATTTACTGTAGTGAGCAGCGTAATGTACCGGTAAATAACCTGCCTTATCTCCTATAGTAATATCACAGTCTCTTTCTACCAGACATACTACAGACTCAAAACCTATAATATATAGTAATATCACAGTCTCTTTCTACCAGACATACTACAGACTCAAAACCTATAATATATAGTAATATCACAGTCTCTTTCTACCAGACATACTACAGACTCAAAACCTATAATATATAGTAATATCACAGTCTCTTTCTACCAGACATACTACAGACTCAAAACCTATAATATATAGTAATATCACAGTCTCTTTCTACCAGACATACTACAGACTTAAAACCTATCATAATTACATGTTCACTTTACCAGCTGATAGAGCTCAATTTTTACCAGTTTGTTAATAAACCTGAGTATGGATGATATAGGGTTACTATATTGAAGAACAATTATTGGTTCAGTAAATATTAGTATTATCTATTACTGTTGATCAGGATTTGAATTCGACCCTGGTATCTTTACTTGACTAAATAGAAATGTATTATGACTTTAAAAAGTAAAAAGCCAACTTACTGCCATATTGAGCTGCGAAATGTAGAGGAGATTTACCAGCATCACATTGACTGTCTAGGTCTACACCATGATCAAACAAACATCGTAGAATCTTACTGTGGTTCCTCAATCCTGCTAGATGAGCTGGTTGTCTCCCTTTCTTATCTCGAGCCACTAAATCTGCATCTAAAATAAAACATACTGAGGATAAAAGTAGAAAATCAATCTCACATCAAATTTGAGTTTTGGATAATCAAATTAAAAATTTGGTAGCAATTCAAAAAGTTCCAGCTGTAGATTTCAGATCAATCTTTCCAATGATGATAGTTCTTAAAGAGACAATAAAGACGTTTTCTTAATTTTGTATGTGTATCAGAGATAGCATCAATCTGCACCATTCCAATTTTCAATCTGAAGTCTGTGGCTCTTGCACTTCCACTAAAACCAATGCGTTTTAAGACGTCACTAGAGGGGAACTGCATAGATATTAATAGTAGCTACCGGTAGTTCCCCTACAGAGACTTCTTAAAACGTGTAGTTTTAGTGGAATAGCAGGAACCACAGCCGTCAGATTGAAATTTGGAATGGTGCAAATTGATGCTATCAGTGTCTCTGATATACATAAAAAATTTAGAAAACTATAGAGACTGTTGAGAGTTGCCCGTATATTTCTAGATTTGGCAGGAAATTTTGATGAAAAAATATACAATTTGATTTGATTCGCAGATAGGTTTGATAAATTTAAAATTTTTGCATATCAAAGGAGATATTGGATAGCAAAAGTGGTCATTCTGACTTGCGAACTGCAATGCGATACCACTTAAATTGAGCCTGACAAATACCTTACCCTTGGCTTGAAGAAGTTTCAGACATTTGACTTCACCATTCAGAGCAGCAAGATGTGCTGCCGTCATCCCATCAACATCACCAGCATCAACATCAGTCATATATTTCAACAGCAACTCAACACATTTATCATGGCCACCGACACATGCCTCTTGTAATGGAAGCCGACCTTTAGATCCGATACAATATGGTGATACACCATTCTGGAATAGAAAACTATTTATGAATGACTCTCTCCATACAGCTTACATCTTAACAATGTCGAGCTATTCTAAACGCTGTGTTATACCTTAACATCATTAGGCACTTTTCGTGTATCAAGGAAGTTTGTAAATGCAGTGAATTATTGGATTGTACTGAAGCGATATACGTCCCAAGAGAGCCCTTGGAGTTTAATGGGGGAGCCTTGGTAGCTCAGTGAGTTAAGACATTTGCTGTCTAACCTTCAATTCTGGCATATGTTGAAATAATACCTTTGGATTTTTCAACCCGGTTTCCACCTGTCAGTAATGCAGGTAACAGGAACTGACATGGAAAAAGCATCTAGTTGTTCGATTGGGACAATAAACTGAGACCACGTGTGCTACAGGCTGTGTACATTAATGATCCCTCGACAGTTGGAAATCGAAAAAGAGCAGGCTAATGCCACTGTCCTGGCAAAATTTCACTCATTGCACCCTGCATGTCATTGCCCGTCTTCATTAGCCCACATGGTGCAGAAACGTATGACGTAAAACTCCATTCATTTAAATTTCAGAGCCTAAAGGTGCAGCCATATTGTTTGCAGTATTTCTATCAAGGGCTCTAATTGACTGTATATGTATTGTAAAGGGGAAAGGCTACATATAATAAATCTCACTTGACTTAATTCAGTTCCCCTTGTACGGTCAGTGATTTACTCACTAGCTACTGCACCCTCCCCTCCCCCCCCTCATACCTCATACCTTACGACACTGCCAGCCAACAAAGGTCTACTCATACACAAAATGTCTCACCTCAAGTAGTTGATATAAACTATCATATTGACCGTAAGTTGCAGCAAATATCAATTTCTCTTCATCTTTTCCGATCGTAGACCGACCTTCAATTATAAAAAGATAGGACACACATGACTGGGGTTGAGTTGAAGAGATATGTTTAAAATGATGATATGGACTGGTTTGCTGATATTTTTACCAATCCAGCTGATTATAAGACTGGCATTTCTATTATGAAGCTGAATTCATATAAAAACAATTGGTAACATTTGATATCTTTCAACAAAAGTTCTGTATAAAATCAGTATAGGCTCATTATATATATTCAGTAAGAACTATTCCATTTTGTTCCCCTTTCATTTATATACCTTAGTTTATTTACTGTCTGACTATATTGAGCTCCGAATTGAATTTTTTCTCTAATTTCAGAAATATTAAAAATAAAATTTTCAACTTTATGCCATTTGTCTTAAAAAAAAACATCTACAAAACTGTCATCACCAACAGGGAAATAAATATATTCATTTTTGTCATTATTTACCATCAGAACTTCGTTGTGAATCGTTTTTCGTTTTTTCGTCGGCCATATTGTTTACATTTTGTCAAGGAAGACTTTTTGTTGGCATTTTACGACATTGATTTGGGACACCTTCGTTTTAATGAGTTTTCTTGATCAGCGTGAGACGTTTAGTGGTTATATTGTAATTAAGTTTGTTTTAGTTTGGATAAAGAAATCTACTTTTATTGTTGAAAACGTTATCTAGACGTTTAAAGTAAAAACCCTTGTAGGTAGAATAGTGGGACACCTTCGTTTTGCAAAATATAGGCATCAAGCCTACCCTGGTATAAACTTCATTGAAATCCAGACCCGTGGTTAATGTGTCTCAGAGGTCAAAATTTTTTAAAGGGGGGCTCAATTATAGCGACTCAACAAGTCATTCAACTTTTCTCAATTTTCTAAAGGGGGGGTGGGGTATCTGTTTACGGACGGACAGGGGTGCCGACAATATACGTCCACATAGAGAGATGTGGGCATATAAAAATGGATACAATATACGAAACTAGGCAACAAGTCTCAGGTGCTCTCTGTTTCCCGCCTTTTTTCATTGTGCATTCATGCAACCACTCGCTAGCCGCTATGTGGAACTATTTCGATCTTAAACTGGTGCAAAATCCTTTATTTTGACAAATTTGACCAACTGTTGAAGGAACCGATACTACTTACTACAACGACTATTACTAACAACTACATTGTCATTGATATCAGCCTACCAACATTTCAAGGTAACCTGCGATTGACGATTGTAGTCTACATGTCGTCTGTTTGGATATGAATAGTATGCTTCTTACTACCAGCCATAGAAAATTGAAACTCAATTGTTGCTCTGTTCAGCAGTTCGTGACTTATTTCGGCAGTACAACTAGTAGGACACTTACTTGTGTAGTGTTTACCACCTCTATATAGCGTACTATCCAATTAAATCGCTTTATTTACAAATTTCTATGCATGATATACACGCAAGGTGGCTTATTTATTGAGTTCGTGTTAGCTTGACATTGTGAAGATGGATGTGACTAATATTTTGCTTTTGGCGATTTCGAGGTTAAGCGTTAGATTGAAAATTATGGCACGTGACAGACTTTCGTAGAAAAGAGCAAAACGAAAGTAGAAGTGTTTTCTTGGAAAATACGTTACGCATCCCATTTATTCATTTATATTCTCTTCTATTATCTTATGTCCTCTCTATGCGTTGTGGTTTGTTTGTAGACCTGCCCATGCGATTGAATTGGTATAATTTGTATGGAATAATCGACTGGGCTATAGACTTGAACCAACAGTCCTTCTAATAGACGTATAGTCGTGATTATCAAGTCTTTATTAATATTATGCTTAGTAGGCCTATCTCGTTCTACTTCCTGAATAAGCCATATATGCTGTGTAACGCTTAAAACATGTCTGTTCGTGTTAAATTCTGTTTTAATGTAAGATATTGGATGCTTTGTGTATAGTTTATTGGAGAGAGAAAACCAAAACAATCGACAAAGAATACAGTAGATGCTTTATCGACTGAACTATGACTGATCTAATATTAGCTGTTAGACATTTCCCTCATCGTTACTGGAATAGAACACGCGAAATGGTGTTTATACTTGTATAGCGAACATTTACAATCATAAACTATTTATAAGGCTGTATATAGTAATGTATTATTATATTAGTAGGCCTATAAACTGTGGATGCATGGAATACGAGTGTTCCAAATAACAATTGTTGACATTTCACGAACTGTTTGTGGCTGATATAATTGTATGTTTCGGTTGAAATATTTTGATCTATTGATATACTCGAGTCGCCTAGATTATTGAGCTCTGATGACTTCAAGTATAAATGTCTTTATGTTAGAAAGCGAAGTAAACGTATTTTCTCTAAGAATATAATTATATAAGTACGGAGAATTGGTTGAAATTAACTGATATTCTGATAGTGATAGTGGTCAAATATTATATATTACAAGTTATTGAAGTTATAGCTGTATAATAAGCGAGAGTCTTAGAGTCGTATTAGAGTGTATTCAGACGATGTTATCTAATTTCTCAATTTCAAGTATTCGAGGATTTAGGTACAGCTGTATAAAAACTTTATAGTGGTATAGGGTGTATTCAGCCAGTGTGATTGTCATTTTCTCATATTTAAGTATTTGGTGGGTATAGTGTAGCGTATTACTTCATATAAGATATTGAATAAAAACCTTTCAAAATGAGTACACCCACGACACCATCATCACCATCGTCTACCAGCGTAGACGCTGAAGCAGTTGAAAATATACACAGTGAACATGTGCCACAATACCCCGCGCCCTCAAAATTAAAACAGGAGTTACGAATTTGTATTGAGGAAATCAGACGAAGTGAACAAGATCCAGTGAAAGTTTACAGTCAAATCGCTAAAATACGAGATTGTTACTATAATAAAAAGACACAGCACTATCGGAGAGAAATAGGCGATCTCCTGGCGGATTGTGGGTACGCGTCGTGTTCTTATCAAATGCTAAAACAATTGGCAATGCGTGGTTTCTTTCCTGGGGGCGTGGAAAAAGTGACAAACCCTTTTTTGTGGCGTACGACAAGATTTGTGTTGGATAACGTTTGGAACTATTCGGACGCTAGTCCTGACTTTGCTAAGGACTTGGCTCGAGGAAAGATTTTAGAAGTCACAAATGCAATTCTAGAACGCTATCAACAGAAGAATCCAGACAAAAAAAGCAACCAGTACCATTTACTGAAGGCTGCTTTATGTATTATGAACAACCTTGCCCGTCGACCTGAAAACAAACATGTATTCAAGGAACACAAATCGGAGAAAAATGTTTTTGAATTTAAATTTTCACATGACAATTTCCTGAAAGTCTTAGCTCTCACAACTTTGGCGTTTATAGTTGATGCCAAACAAGCCCAGAAATTGACGGAAGATAACGAAACTATTCAGACTATCGTTCATTGGATGAATCTGGCCATAGAAAAGGACGATTTTCATCGTCTTAAAGAGGGTTTTACTGCTGCAGAATTAGCGTATGCTCTGGACAAACTTGCAATTGATGGTAACGCAGAGAAGATCATCGAAGCAAAGGCCTTAAAATGTTTCTATCGGATGCTTTGTTCAGCTGATGAAGACCAACAAATTAATGCGGCAAAATGTGTCTGGACGTTGTCGTTTAATGTGGAAGCTAGAAAAAGCATCAAAGGATATAAAGAATTAGTGAGCACACTTCAAAGAATGTCCAAAGAAGAAACGAACAAAGAATTGTTGCAGAACTTGAATGGTGCATTGTGGGTTCTCTTTGAGAAAGGGGATGAGATTCCCTCCACTGTAGACCAGCCTAAACATCTGTTTATCAGCTACTGCTGGAATGAAAAGGAGACAGTCCGACGGATCTGGCAAAGGCTTAGAGAGGCTGGTTATAAAGTTTGGATTGATATCGAGAGAATGTCGGGTGATATATTGGAAGCCATGGCCTCAGCCGTGGAGAGCTCGTCAGTTGTCATTATGTGTATCTCCGAGGGGTACAAACAAAGTCAATGCTGCCGAACTGAAGCGGGGTATACTTATAAACGTAAGAAGGGATTCATACCTCTCCTAATGCAAGCTCCTTATAATGCTGATGGTTGGTTAGGGGCTTTGCTGAGTACTACTTTATATTTTGATTTCAGCTCGGACAGTGAGGTCGCATTCGACGATAGTTTTAGAAACCTACTGAGAGAGCTCAATAACAAAGGTGTTACGATTAACACTGGAGATTCGGTCGACATGCCTCCAGATTCCGGTGATCTGTTAACCTACCCGAGACCTGCACCTCGTAAAAATCTCTCACTCTCCAACAGTGATCTAGCAGCTCTCTCCATATCTGACATCGACCCAGACGTGCAAGCTTTTGCAGACAGCTTACCTTTGGCTCCTACGTCTCAACTTGATCGTTCACCACAGTTACATATTCGAAGGCTTACAACACCAATCCAGGCTGAGCTTTCACCAACCGCTGCTCTGTCTCCTACTACATCCACAACCACTGTTGCTTCTTCATCTCAATCGTTACTGTCTGTACCTCGCATCGGAGGTCCTCCAGAATCAGTCACCAGGATGAAAAAGAGCGATGTTCGAGATTGGCTGAAAGAAAACGATCTGGAAGACAGTATTCGACTTCTGAAACATGTTGACGGGAAACTCCTATGGCAGTTGAAGTGTATGAAGGAAGATGCGCCTCAATTCTTTTACCAATTTCTGCAAAATCAACTGGAGTTTCCTCCCATATCATTGTTGAAATTCAGACAAGCTTTAGAAAACTTAAAATAAAATTAAATGAATGGAGTTTTACGTCCTACTTTAGAAAACTTAAATTGACTCGTAATTTTTGTTATATATAAAATTATACTCTGATTAAAATGTAGATCGCCATTAAATATTTCCTTTCGCTTTTTGTGATTAACATTTATTTTTATTTTTAAAATTGTATTAAAGGGGCAGTATGTAAAATGTACATTATTAAACTTATTGTAAATAAAACCTGAAAATATTTCTAAAATATTGTTTTAAATAAATATATCCGGAGTGGCGAGTGATATATCCGGAGTGGCACGTAATATATCCGGAGGGGCAAGTAATATATCTGAAAGGGCAAGTAATATATCCGGAGGAGCGGGTAATATATCCGGAGGAGCGGGTAATATATCCGGAGTGGCGAGTTATATATCATGAGGGACAAGTTATATATCATGAGGGACAAGTTATATATCATGAGGGACAAGTTATATATCATGAGGGACAAGTTATATATCATGAGGGACAAGTAATATATCTGGAGGGACAAGTTATATATCATGAGGGACAAGTTATATATCATGAGGGACAAGTTATATATCTGGAGGGGCAAGTTATATATCTGGAGGGGCAAGTTATATATCTGGAGGGACAAGTTATATATCTGGAGGGACAAGTTATATATCTGGAGGGGCAAGTTATATATCTGGAGGGGCAATAGTGTATGGTGTTGCAGTAATGAAATGGATCGGTTGTCAGAATTTTCTTCAGGGGATACCTTGTGGTGCTGTTGGTAGGGATACCTCAGGGATAACATTACCCTAGGTTGGAAAACAGCTAGAGACCTCCACAAATGTGAATTTAAACATTATATATTCAGACTTCAGATCGT